TATATATATATATATATATATATATATATATATATATATATATATATATATATATATATATATATATATATATATATTATACACGTATGGGCTCACTCGTACACAACTGCATACTCGTAAGCGATAAACACGAGATCGGTTTTTATCCTCCAGATGAATCGTATCTGGTGCTGTCAAACCATTGTCGATACGATCAATGCACTTCCCTTTTCCGAAACGCCAAATCTTATGCAAATGTAGAAGAAGAAGAAGAAGAAAAATATGCGTGAATGTCGAGATCTATGTTCGATCTTGTTCGAATTGTATTCTCAATTAACAGTGGATAATCACATAAAAAATATGAGAAGCACATTGAAGTTAGCAGTAACATCAAATCGAGATTCGTCTCAGAGAATAATGGCACGAACGTGCGCGTGCTCGTTGAAATTAGATTTATTTTCTCGATCCACTATAACAACTCGTTCTTATGGCTGTTAGTAAACACTCTTGTCACTTTTACTCATACTGTTCTATAACGATTAAATGAGTGCAATTTTCTCAAATGGACAATTAAGAAATTGGCCTCGTAAACTCTTCATCAGCTTTACATTTTAATGCACAATCGTTGCATACGATCGTTCATATAGCAGAACACTTACATTTTAAAGTACAGCGCAGATAAGATGATAATGATCACTAGGCGTCGTCTTGGTTACTTCACAAACACGACGAGATCATATTCGCGCGGAAAGTTTGCATCGGGCTCTCCATTTTATCAGTTACATAAGAAGAGATTCATACAACGTAGAGACAGACAATTCTATCGTGTTCGCAGCCGTTGATTAATTGATGTGATTGATCGTATATCACTCTGTGTGTCTATCCACAATTAAACTACAACTCTCTGCGTTGTAACTTTAAGAGTGTTTTGTCTAGGCGAAAAAGATGGATATAGGGATGCAAGATTAATACGAGGAGGTGCCAGCAAAGACGCTAATAATACGAGTCTGCGGATCGTGTGGAAATTGTACAATAGACGCAATGTGATTATTAGGTGGATCATACGAGATCTTGTGAGAGAGTTAGCGAGAGAGCGGAAGAAAATGAGAGAAACGGAAAGTAAAAAGTTTTTCGGGCGTATGAGACGACAGCGTGAGTGAGAGAACGCGAGATAGAGACTGCGAGTGTGTATATCTGTGTAAATATAACTAATATTATGAAATGATTATATAACCATAACAAATGGTAAAGCAAATACAAAAAATACTTGTTTTTTATATCAGATCTGTATTATAGCGAAATATTATTCTGTATTTTGTAATCAGGAACGGAAGTTAAGGTTGACGAGCGAGTGTCTGTACGTGCGTGTAATCGAGCCTTTAGGTTTTAAAGATATAAGTTTTCTGTAACGATCCATCGTGGATCGGCGGAATCGTACGATCAACGTTATCTAGGAAGTTTCGACATTTTCTTGCGTGTAGGTGCAAAGGAATTCCGTTTGACCCCATTCGCAGTCGCCCGTGACGCGACATTGTACGATTTATTTTGTTTCGATGCGAGCAACAGTCCGCGGCACCGATCGCGGACACGACTTACTGCCAATGTACGCAACGAGGTACGATTCGAGTCTTCGGTTAATTTTAATGCGTTATAGCGTGCGTGTCGTTAGAAACTTTCCCCGTAAACACGGACACGTTAGTTCTGCGCTCTCCCCCGAGCAGAATCGCTGTTAACGAATACGTGTGAATCTTTTAGACAACCAGTCATACAGTCAAACAGTGACTTTTTATACATCCGTTTTAAAATTTCCTTTCGCGCCGGGGAGAAAAAGAGATCTTTTCCGTATACTGAAGAAAAAGCGCGACTGTAACGACGTCGTTCGGCCAGTCATCGGGCATTTCCGGGCGATCGCTTCGTTCCGAGCCACTGCCACATTTGATGAGCAATCTCGAGGTAGTTAGTATTCGCCTGCGGAACGAGCTGATGCCCCGTTCGAACGACGCGAACGCGCCAACTACTTTTGCTTCCATCTCACTGCCACTACCACTTCGGACGACTGAAATGATCAAAGGTCAAAGGTAGAATATCGAGAGAAGACGAAGTAGATAGCGGTGCCTCGTTGCGTCACGAAAAAGCCTAAAGAACGGGCGTGGAGTGGGGTCAGGGCGTAGTTACTAGTTGACAATGAACAAGTTGCTTGCGCGTACGAGAGGGGAGTATATAAAATAAGGAGAAATTTTCCCTCATCATTTGTCCCAGGAGACCTCTACTACATATGCTTAAGCTTCTTCGTTTCCGCGACGTCTGGATTAAGATGCGATTTTAATCACCCGCTCTCCCTCCCCCTCTGCCCCTCGTGATAATAAACCTCCATCGCGTAACATGTCGTCGAGTCACCGATTGTATATACAGAGTATTCCGGACTTGTCCTTCGTAATTTTTGTGGGAACGTAGGACGGATTGAAGTGAACAGTAACAGTTCTTTACCGTTTTGCGATATTCGCAATAATAGTCGAGATATTAATTAACGGAGATTACTGAATAATCACGCACGATATGGTAGATGAACTATAGTTTGTGATTTATGCTGTTGTGTGCTTGTACATTAGATCAAACTGAACGAAAAAGCTTCTTATTATTAACCACGTAGATATTTAGTTATTAAAGAAAATTTTTATAAGATTGTGTGCGATAATGTACAAATTTTCTTTAATTAATATCTAAACATCCATGTGATCATTTGCAGAATGGTAGAGGGCTTTCTGTTCAATTTGATCTGATATATAAGTATACAACGGCAGACATTACAGTTCATCTCATATTGCGCGTGATCATTCACTAATCTTCTTTAATTAATATCTCGAGATTTATTACGAATATCGCAAAAAACGATATGGGACCTTTATGTTCATGTCAATCTGTTCTACGTTCTCACAAAAGTTGTGGATAAGAGTCTGGGACATCCTGTGTAGATATTTGTGTGTATGTATGTATATCACATCGATACGCGATAACGATAACCGAAATGTTCACAAGGCCATCGCGATCGGTGCCGTTACGGTGCGTATCTATCTTAATCCAGAGCCGCATCACTGTGACGCGATGCACATACTACTCTATCACTTGTACATAATGTTAGAGAGGAAAGAACAAAAAAAAAAGAACAAATCGAAGATTATATTTTTTCTATCGATCCAAAAACGTGGTGACCTATCAACATCGTGCATCCGGGATTATTTAAGCGTGTAACTTCGTGCCCTTTGTACCGATCGCACTTCGCGGACGAATTGTTTCCCGATGAATCGTACGTTTCTTTTACCTTCTTAATTCTAGAGTGTTACTTGGACATCACCGTACACACACCAAGTGGCCCTTACGTTCGTGCCGTACCTCTATTTTTAGTCGGTGCAACTTCGAATGATGCGTTTTCGAGGTGAATCTCTTTATATTGTGTAAGTTATAACTGAGCATGATACTGACCAATCGCCTGAACGTAGCTTCAGACCACCACTCTCTCTCTTTTCCCGAAATGTCTAGAGAAAAAAAAAAGAGGAGAAAATTGCGGCGAGTGTGTTTTAAGGATATTATAAATAAAAAAAAAGGATTATGATTGTGAATATCTCTTGTGTTATGTTAATGTAATTAAAAGAGACAAAAACATTGTAAAGAATTAAATAAAGCATACATTTTACATTTACCGGGGTGTAATTTTTAGGACCCACGGCGGACCCGTTGGGAAAAACGATGTTGCGAAATATATATTCGTTTTACACATAGTTTTATTTATTATATAAACTATTGTAAAAGTTACAATTGTACATTAAAAAGTCATAGTGGGTGAGTGACGATACCTACTGTGTGATACATGAATATCGCGATCTTCAGCTTGGAATCGTGGGAGCTTACATCGTGCGTCCCCGTGCAATACAAAAGTTCTTTCACGTTGAAGTATAATACTCGGCTGGAATTTAAGATATGCACTTATGTACTAATGAATACTCTTCAAGCCGGAGATGTCAAATGTAAACTAGAGATATACTGTACATTACAAAATGCATCGTCGCGGCTGTTATTACGAAAGTCCGCGAGTCTCGACAAATTGTCCGTTCATTTATTTACCTTAATAAAGATCCTTTCTTCATAAAAAGATAGTATATTCAATTATGCTAGTCCGTCTCATCCGAGGAGAAAGCAAATCTCGATTGTACAACGTGACGCGACTCGACGCGCGATTCGTCGCAAGTAACGCAAGAGGGAACGCTAAAAATGCATTTCGACAGTCGTAAGCTTGCGTTACGTTAAAATATCGAGCAGTTGCACTTAGATGTTAACGATCCTACGAACGAGTCATATGCGTTCGCCACTCTTTCCTCAGCCTCCGCTAATATACGCTTGTACTTTTGCATCGCAAAAAACCGGAATTCCGCTTCATCCGGTGCGTTATCACTGTACGGCCGCGTGACATTTAACAGCGAATTCCTCGCGATTGCCTCCAATGTGAACGGATGTAAAAAAGTGGCCCTGAGTGGCAAGTTAGATTAATGCAGCACCCCGTCTCCCTTCGTAATTTCCTCGCCGTTAAGCTTACGGTTGCGAGTGCTCCAGCTTGTACACGTCGTGATATGCGTTGCGAATCAGTGCGTATGGGAAGCAGCTCTCCAGCAAGTCCATCGTCAGAAACGGAGATTCCTGGACTATCTGATCCAGCAGCAGATAGACGGACTCTCGGTTCCGGGTCGCCTCCTTGTCCGCTTCTTGACCCAATCTCAATAAACTCGACGAAGCCAGAGCCAGGAATTCCTTCATCCTATCCTCTATGTCATTCTGCCCGCAAATCGTGAACAACGCTCCGAATATGTTGTTTATAGCGGTGGCCATGCAGTGTATGTTGTTGGAATGGCCCTCGAGCGACGCACGATAGAAAGAATTTTCGTTACGAGCCAATTTCGGAATGGAGACTGCCACGAAAACCATCAACAGGCACACGAGCAGGTGCTCGTCCTCTTCGGGTTCGCCCTTTTGATTTCGCAACGCGGTCGTCAAGGTGGGATCGACCTTGCAGGTCAAACCTGCAGCCGAGGTCATCTCGGAAACGACGCGCATAGGATCACCGGAAGGCAGATGATGTCTGAAGTCCAATATGGAGCTCAGCAAAAACGGTATGCGTTCCTCTAACACGTCGACCAATGCGGATTGTGATAACTGCCGGAAGCTCAGGATCACGCCTATTATGGTAACTCGCTGAAGAACGTTGTCCACGTGTTGCAATCTCTTAAATTGCTCCTTCATGACCTCCGGCTTGTCGAAGTTCGTCCTCAGAGCAACTAGTACGTCCCTATTGCCCGTCACCAGTTTCTTTAGCTGTTGTACCTGACTGGCGATGTGCCACATCAAATTCTCGTTTAACATCTTCATGCCATATGGCCCTATCAGTTCCGCCAATGCCCTCAACTCGTTAATGTCGGAGAACTCCTCGGCATTAAAGGGAATGGCACCTTCCACCGATAAGCTGACGAACGCCCGTTGATTCGCGGAGTAGCAGATATTGCCGGCGCTAACTCGCCTCAACAGGACGTCCGAGTACCATTGAGTGTAGAGCGCGGCTATAGTCTTGTCACCGTGACTGTCCAGCTCCTGAGTCTGCTGCAGCAGAGCATTGTTAAAGACGCGCGTGATGTCTATGTGTACGTAATTCTCAATGGTCTGAAGGACGTTCATGTAGGACCTAACGCTGACGAAGAGCTCCGACGGCTTGGCTATCTCGCTTGTATCCGGATTGTACATGACCATTCCCACGAGTGCTCTGGCAAATCGCGACTCCAGATGTTGATGCAGATATTCTCTCGGCGCGAAGGTGTACTCCCAGACGTTGATGGTAGGACAGTAATTGATAGCGTAGCACAACTCGGTAAGCGCCATATGCAGCTTGTCCATCGTCGTTAATTCCTCCCGGGTCTTCCTGAAGCTCTCTATACCGGGCTTGTGAATCTCGTACATGTTCTTCTTGTTCTTGTCCTTCTTCTTGCGATTGACAACCTGTGATATTAACAGAGCGCAATGTTTCGGTAACAGCTTGTCGCTCATGTTACACTGCTCGTCGCAAATAGTCGTGATAATATTCTTGGCTTCCTTGGCCATCTCGTCCAGGAACATATTCACGACGGAGAGACTCCTCTCGCGAATATGATGACGTTCCTCCGGACAGAGCTCGTGGGTGCAACTCTGGAAGTGACTGCATATGAGCGGAAAAGCGACGATATAGCGGTTCTGAGCGGGGAACTCGAGACACATGTGAAACTGGTCTTCGAATATTTTGCTGTAAAAACAGAAAATGGATAAGTCGGACGTTTCGACTAACATCTCATCCAAATTGTCAACCATTTTCGTATGAAAGATCACCGTGTCCATGAAGGAAGCTAATTCTCTATTATCAGCCAAATTCATATTGCCTTTTGCAATAGACATATAAGCCTGCAGCCTGAACCAGTCCAATCGGAAGGCACGGAAATCAAACAACTCATTCTCCTCAACTTGCTTCACAGTCAGACTAGCTATAGTTGAACACATATCACTAAGAATAGCTCCCTCGTCCTCGGGACAGACCGGAAGATTCTGTATCATCTGATGTAGAGCAGGGGCGTCGAATCCCGCGAGGAACTGGACGTAATACCTTTGAAGCACCTGAGAATACTTTTTCACTAAAGCTCTTAGTTCTTCGCAATGGAAGAGCAATTCCGGCAACTGGCGGTCCACCAAATCCTCACTACCTCGTCCTTTGGCTTTGCCTTGAATCGGAGGATTGTCCCCGTGTCTTAGTAGCCACAGCACCTCGTCTCGCGCGTGAGAGAGACCCATTAAGACCAGCAGTGCTTTCGGTCCCAGGAGGCCAGGCTGGTCGGTTAAAATTAAGCCTAATTCTTTCAGAGCAGTCCTCAAGAATTTCCTTCGTTCTCTGTGCCTGTAGCCAGCCTTTTGTACTGCTTGATTGTAACATTCTTTTACCTCTGACACTCGTTTACTGTACCCTTTCATGCTTTCAAAGAATGTCTGAATGTACTGATGTATGTAAATTACCTCGTCTCTGAACAACGCCAACACCCAACCAGATTCCAAAGCAGTGATCCACAGTTTGTTTGGCTGTTCTTGACTCAAGAACGTGTGACAGAGTGTAAATCCAAGAATTACCCATCTCTCAATTCTGTCCAAGCTCAGCGTTTCGCAGGACATGGTCTCCGTTGCTGCTGCCTTGAGAATCTGGCCAGGGCTACCTACAAGGCTCAATTTCTGATCAGCTCTCCATGTGTCAGCAGTCAAGTTTCTGCCAGGATATATCGGCCACAAGGAAATAAGAGCATTTTTCAGCAACTTGGAGTGTGGCACAAACTCTTCCGACAGCTTCTTCAGTGGAGCATCATAATCCATAATCATTTGACCTAAACGAGGAAAACTAGGATCTGACTGACTGTGCACCATCTCATGGGCTGCATTGAAGAGCCCTAGCACTGCTTTGCGATCCTCAACTCGTGACAGTAGGACCATCAAACTGACATATGTGACTACAAGGTCTAGGTATCCTTTAGTCAAGTCAAAATTGATTGTAATATCCATGTGAACGCCACAAGCATCCATAGTGGTCAGCAGTTCGCACACATTATCCTTAAAATCCAGAAGATCAACAAATGTATAGTAGTATAACGATAAGGACTTGATGATTTCGTTACGAATGTTCGTAATGGTCTGCAGTCCCTTGATATCAATGTTAGGAAACTTCCTGACAATAGCCTTGATGGAAGACTCCAGTGCCTTGTCAGAGAGGAAAGCAGGCTTGGATTTGGCATCGCCACAGGCCTTCTTAATATTGTAAATACGTGTGAGCATACCAATGCCTCTGTCATTCAAAATGGTCAGCTTCTCAGCCAGCTTCTGCTGGCTTGGCACGATCGGTCGAGCCATGATCACGTCGTTCAAATCGCTCCACTTGCTTGGATTAACACATAACTTGTGCGACTGTTTTGTTTAAATTACAATGATTCACAGTCGACCCCACCCCTGGGGGTAATTTATCTTACCGGATGCGATAAGCGTTGCCTCCGATTCCCTGCAAGAAAAGACAATACCAATTTCGAGCATTCCCACAATATTCTTTGCTCTTCATTTCTCGACTCGTGTGCTCACCTGTCGTCGGGGTTACATATCGAATCCAGATCAACGGTACAATAATACGACAGACCGAGTAGCTATGTACTGTACTCTATCACGGTGCATACCGCGCTTAGGGCGCCGCTGTCGGCGATATGGTGCTGCCCTCGCAACCAGCTTGAGTCGCAATCGGCGTGAGACAAGCCGCGTATAAAATCTGGAGGAAATATAGAGGTCAGAACAATTTTTAAATCATATTTATTTTAAGATTAGACGGACAAAACAGCTCTCGTAAAGTGTTCAAACATTTGTTTCGTTAAAGTGGAGCATCCGACTAATGCTTACTGTTTGTCGTTTGATTTCATACTTTCGACACGTGTTCGCATGCGAATTTGTTTACGACGACTTCAACAATACGCGATCAGTGTAATATCAGAGAGATATATTTACATTTAACGTTTTATAATTTTATAGTTTTCAAACATATATAATCACGTGTATATATGTATACGTAAGGTTAGATTCGACAAGTAACTTCTATCGAAGTGAAGTAAACGTTTTCATCTCATTGTGCCACTTTGAGATATCGATATCGATATTTCGAGAAACTCAATCACGACATGTTCAGTGTGATAACGTCACTTGAAAAACGGATCATGGCGAGTGGGTTATAGTCGAAGAGCTGCTCTGTGTTCTCGCGAGATCTCAGCTTGTCCAGGGTGAGTCCTGAGCGCGATTTACCGTCGAGAATGTCGAGAGTAGAGTCCGCGTGCTTGGCATGATGAAGTATCGTGCCGCTGAAAGCGAACAGTCGTCTAACGGGACGACTGTCGGGAGTGTCGAGTGACGGTTGTCGATCGCGCGTTCGACGTCTCGGTAGTTCGGGATAGAATTCGCTATCCTTCGCGTTTTCGTCCACCGAAAGAGTCCTACGCGCAAACTACGCCGGGTGAGAAAATGAGTTTTGGACATCGTGACGAGAGTCATCGTCGTAGAGTACCGAAATCATAAGGGCCGAGAGTGATAGCTACGTTCGTTAGGCGCTTAACGTTCAAAATGATTGAGTTACTCTCCGAAGGAACAGTCGGTAAGTACCCAACGCCATCTATCAGTCCACGATCTTCGAGTCTTCGAATGGTAACTTATCAACGGTTTCTCTTGTAGCTGTCACACACAAGTGAAAACATACTCCACTTTAAATTATGTATGAATTTACTCGTTGTTGAACTTTTTATTGCGATTTTAAGCGTTGCATATTATTTAAGAAAGCAATAGTCACTTTGAAAATTCATGTATAAAATAAAATTTTTTTGCAACTGTCACAATCTATTTCTTGCAACTTTAAATTGCGTATAAATTTATACGCCTGTTAAATTTTTTTGTTACGATTTTAAACATTATATATTATTTAAGAAAGCAATTGATCACTTTGGAAATTCGTTTATGAAGTAAAATTGTGTAAAGCGATGATGTTTTCCTAGGTAAGGAAAAATACAAGGTTGACTGTTAAACAATATTTTTTATGAACGTTATTTACGCCATGATAAATACATATCATTTATTTTTATTGTTGTGGAGTAATATTTATAAGATCTCATCGATAACAAAGTGCTAGAAGGAAAAAGCGAAAGATAGGGACATAATTGATCAAAAGTCTGATGCTATCAGTTTACTATGTACGAACAAATTGGTGAGCGGGTAGGAAATATATCGACGAAGAAAATGACTTTAATGCACGTGACGATATAAAGTTGTGAGCAAAATATAAGCAGTACGCCGTGCAACGCGGCTTTCAGAGTCGGAAGCTAAAGACCACCTCTTTGCTGCGCCCGCGAAATGACTGATGGCCCCGACTCGTGTACATAACTTAATATTTGCCCGCAATATATCATTCGTTCGTGCCATAGAATACTTTGCGGATAGTATCGGCGGGCGTACAACCCGGGACTGATATCCGTCATACGTCAGGGAAACAGCGCGTAGCCGCGGTGTCAGGCAAAAAGCCCCGGCGTATATCCAGATATATGATAATGGATATAATCCTTCGATATCTTATCTTTTATGAGTGTTATTCGTTTATGAGCGCTTTTGGATGCCGTTCAATTCTCGTCTCGCTCTTCCTCCCGGGCGTCCGCGCGCGGCCGAGCCCTCTCCTCGGGCGGCGCGGGCCCTCGTTGGCTCGGTTTTACTACTTTCCCATTTTTCATTAGCACAATCAAACCGGCCGTACGCGGAGAAACAATGGCTCCTTGCCGGTCTTCGGCGTGGGCGTTCCTCCGCGGGGAAAAAAGCGTATAGATTATCGACCGATAGAGGGGCTTGGCCGCTGTGTTTGCCCTCTCGTTCGCTTTTCTCGAACGAAAGAGTGAAAGAGGGGTCGAGGGGAAGAGGGCGAGACAAAGAGAGAAGGAGAAACAGGTCTCTCTCAGATCGCAGCGAGCGCGAATCGCTTCTGTTGACTGCGAGTCCGTAATTGTTTCCTGCTCGGAGGAGGCCAGGTGGAATGACTAACGACCAATTTCCTTCGGCAGGCGAGTCATTCCCCGGTATGATCGATCCGATTATCGCTCGGCGTGCTCGTCCTCGCAATTTCGAGCAGCGTACATCACTGTTCCCCTGGGTCTTCGCAAATCGTCCGCTCGCAGATCGCCGACGAATTCGCACATCCTTGGAAAAATGTCCGCGGATATTGCACGGGGCTTCACGGAGCGCGTCGAATGCGGTGAGTCAGAATTACCTTGTTAAAGCGCAGTAATCTGGTAGTGATTGTGTTTGGCTCGTCTTGGAAAGCATGTCGTGCCAAGCAATACTTTAGCAATTACAGATTAGCCTACTCTTTACTATAAGGTTCTTCGTAATAAGAGTGAAATAAGAACGATGCTTACTTGCAATTCTCGCGTATGCACACGTTTATGTGCTTTACATTCGCATTTTACGATAAGAAAATACCAATCTCTGAACATTAATAACACTGATAATCCTAATTCTGAACGTTCTTATTGTTTTAGTCTTCAGATACGAACATTTAAGCTTTTAAAATAAAGAGAGAATATATATATATATATATATGTATATATATATATATATATATATATA